CAGGAGGGTTGGACTAGATGACCCACAGAGGCCCCTTCCAACCCCTACCATTCTGTGATTCTGTGAAAAATTGTTTAGAAAAATGTGCTGAAAAAGGAGGCAAATGAGAAAGATACACTTGACAAAGAATTCTAATGCAAGCATCTGCTTTTTTTTTTCTGTTTTGAAGATGGGAAAAAAAAGCTACTAAAAGTTACCATGTTCCATGTATTATGACAAGCCTGTATTTTCTTGTGAAGACACTTCCCATTTGACTGACTAAAGGAGGGGCATTGGAAGCGTTCTGTATAGAGACAGCAAACTTCAGAAACATGAAGCTTGTTTTAGAAAACTACTAGATTCATTAGTCATGATATATATTTTATAAAATTGGTAGGAAGTGTGAAAACACTTTCTAAATTAAGAGTACGTTGCTTGCTTTGCACATTTGCTGAGCTTAGTTGCCAATGTATATACAAAAACATTTGTAAATAATGCCAAATAATTCCAGTTAAACTGAGCTTTGTGTTCAATAGTATATTGATGTTTCAAAACAATGCAGTGGGAAAAAGTTAGTTTATTGTAATTTACTATATTAAATTTCCTGTACAAACTTTTAAAGCATTAATCTACATAAAATAAATTTTTGAGATTACATATCATTGCTTTCAAAAGTTAGTTTATCAGCACAAAATGGTTCGCTGATCACTTCTTACCACAACATCACTTGAGATGACATATGGAATCAAAGATGAAAAACTCCACTGTGCATGTTTCATAACATAAATTAAGAAAATTACTCAGACTTGTAATTTTCTACAAAGCAAATCACCCACTAGACTGAACAGTGAATAATTTAACTGGAAATTGATACTGAACATGTGTTATTGGAACATTAATGTACAGAAGGCCTACATACCTATCAGTAGCGGAGAATACTGTGAGATAACCTTTCTAAGAAGTGGGGTTTTCATGCACCTCTTTCATTAAACTTCTTAAAATATTCTATAAAATTCAGTCATTCAGCCAACTAAAGATGGCTAGATTATCTCTCAAGAAAGTACTACAGGGTGTGCATTCAGATTAAAAAAGAGGATCATTATAGTGGAGACCAGCAAAAGCTACACGAGCATTTAATATACTCTTGTATTGCACATGTATTGTGCAACCAACTGTTGAACCAGAAGCACCACTAGATATGGCCTGCTACAAGTAAACTCTTTCTTCTAGACACTGAAAGGTAAATCTTACCAAAAAAAATTATTTTTTCCTGACTGGTGTGCTGAGAGTTATTCACTGATAAAACTGGGGTATGGAGTGCTAGACCAGTAAGCATTATGCAGAACTTGGATTTTGAAGGTTTTGTTACCTACCTAATGCAAAGCAAGCAGAAAGCAGAAGTAGCATTGGAAAGCAGTCAACATCTTTCAGTGTGAACACACAGAAAATCTGAGCTGAGTTGTCAAAGAGTGTTGTGGTGATATTTGTGGAACTGATTGACTCTTTGGTTCATGCAAAGATGCGTACTTAAATGAATTTTATTTTAGAGTCATCCCTAGCTATGCAACAGGATGCCCTAGAACTGCAAAAAGGCAGTTTCATGTACGGATTCACACTTCAGATACAACTATTCCTTGAGCATTTATTGTCTATATATATTTTGTTATACTGGATGTAGACTTATAACCTGGGAAATACTGCAGACTTAAATTTCTTAACACGCTATGGTAGTCTTGACAGAATGTTTTTGGTGTAATTAATATATACAAAACCCTATTTGAGCATAGATCCATTAACAGCTGCCTTCTGCTAACAATTTCTCCAAACAAGCTGAAAAATAATGTTGTCATTAACTAAAATATAGTTAGTTCTACCCAATTTCACTATCAATATTGGCCAGCTATGTTTTTAATGGTGTATGATTTTTGTTTTTTGTTGTCTTTTTTACAGGATGAGAATATAATGCGATCCATGCAGCTCTTTGAAAATGTGATTTAACGAAGACATTAGGTCTACAACTAATGGACAAATATTGAGCTATTTTGCAACATTATCTAAAAGATGGATTTCCCACTTTACCGTAAATAAAATTACTCAGCTTTACACTGAGACATGTATTATGCAAACAAATTTTTTATTATAAACTCTTCCCAAGAAAAAAGAACTTTCTAAATTATACAATTTAGCACTTCAACAGTGGCTACTTAGCTAACAAGATTGTTCAGAAAAGTCAGGTTTTTACTCCAAACCCAAACTAAGTAAGATCTGACATCATGCAGCTTTATTATCATTCCAATCCCTAGATAAAATAGATACCATCACAAGGAGATTAAATACTCTTAGTTTTGCTACTCATTTGTACTGGATTAAGCTCCAGACGTTTGAGTGTATTTCTTAAATCTTAGCTTCTAAATTATACAGAGGTATTACCATGTATTTTCTTTTCACATTTGTATGGTGTAGTCCTCATTTTTTTAATAATACATTGAGTTAAAGTGCTACAATCAATGTGCAATGCACATCTTGCTGCAATTGCCTTCCACCTTTCACTTGCTTTTCTCTTCAGAAAAAAACCCCCATACCTAACAAAATAGGTAACTTGAAAGGAAGAACTGTTGTAAAACAAAAAAAGAAATTGCTTATAGGTGGATTTACTCCCTAACGAATACACGTAAGCTTCTGTTGATCACACTTACCTAGTAAATCTGCATTTAATTTATCATGACATGAATATGAGTCCTACATACTGTATTTATAATTCTTCTTGGATGTGTTCGCACAGTTCTTTGCTCAAAAGTCAGAAGATCCTTAATTATTCATGATGAAACCTTAACTGGATCCTAACACTGTTTTCATGAGTACATGTCTTTCTGCCTTTAATGAAGAAACAGGCATGAACTTTTTTTGAAACTTCGATCCCACTTCAGTGCTCAGAATGAATATCACAGTGTAGTAACATCTACTAACAATGACTGCTAGACAAGCCAACATCTGTTTCAGCTTTTTGTAATTAATTATGAGACAGAATCAGGAAAAAATTGAAAACTTCAGCTATATAATATCATCTATATGTGATAAATGCATTACTTTGTTTTAGGATCATTTCTTCATTAAGATGGGAGCTACCTTAATTCTGAACCTAGAAAGATTTTTCTAAAAAAAGTATGTACCTAAAATACAATACTGCCCCCCCCATCCATGTAATTTTTAAGATATATCATCCACAGAGTTTATGCCAATACTTCAAAATAGGTAAAATGCTATCAGAGATAGGCCAATCTTCATTGTGACATTGCTGCAAAAATGTGAAAGGGTATTAATGAAGTAGAATGTTGCAAGCATTCTTTTGCAAAAATAAATCAGGTATCTATTCTGGTGTAGAGGTGGGATGTTAGAGGCATGTTGAAGGCTGATCTGCTATCACCAGTGTAGGATAAGAGTAGTACAATACATGTACACCTGAAATCTGCTGTAGCGTGTCTGTGTAAACTCAATGTGCACATTTTGTAAAAAAAAAAATAAAAAATAAACATGAAGAAACACAAGAAGCATGATTCATTTTTTGTTGTTAAACAAATACTTGTATTTCTTCAAATGTAATATTTTTGCCAACAGAATTAATTTTTTTTAAAATGCTCAAGTACATAAATCTTGACTTAGCACAGTTCTGATCTCAGCAGAGAGCACAGCCCCAAAGTAAATTTAATATAGCCAAGCAGTCGTAATTTTCCAAAAATTCTGAAACTGCTTTCACATGACAGACGTTTTTATATCCTATGCAACAGCATCTTCTGATAACAAAAATAATAATCCCAACAACTTTAAATTCCAGAATTGAATTTTCCTGAGCGGAAAAAGTTTTATGGCAAATTTTGTTACTTCCATTAGTTCTCCCTCACTGACTAACTCAAATATCCATAACAACATGAATACAGAACAGTATTTATTACAAGAACTGTTAGGAATTATTTTGCAATGAAGTTCAAACATGTTCATGTATAAACACTGCATCCTACAAGTCTTGACAGCAAGGTAAGCTGGCTTCTACAATCATTTTATTGTCTTTAACCCAAATTTTTTTAATAGCTCCCAGATTCAGAAGTTTATTAGCTTGTCTGGAGCTGAATTCACAAGCTAGTCCCAAGTGTATCTGTGGCATTATAGAACTCGGTGCAAAAGGAGCACGGTGTAAATACTCCAAAGCTGCCTCCCACATCTAGCTCGCATTTAGTAGGCCCAAAGCTAACTGGAACTAACCAGTTGATCAAAACCTAGGCTGTGGCTCTGTGGAGCAACCTGATGCCTCTGCATTGCATTCTCCAGAGCCTCTCCAGCTTCTCAAAACACTGTGCTGAGAATGCACAGAGCAAGTTCAGTTTCGCACCATATGCTACCTGTTTAGTGCGTTCAGCTTCACATCTTTAAAAGCTGACTCTCAAGGAGTCTAGATGAGTTCTCATAGTCCTACGTCTAACCCAGCAAGTCTTGATGAATCCAGACTGCACCCATCTATGCCTGTAGCACAAAATAAGTTTCAAAAGTGGGTATACATATGTCATTTAACACCAAGTTAGTTACTATTTAAGTAATTATATCCAAATTATTTTGCATCACACAAATGTACAAAACATATTAAGCACTGTGAACATATTAAAGGAAATTTTAATTTAAGAATCCATCTCTGTTCTGCTTTTGAAATAACAGCCAGTTAATCCATGTCATTGTAAGCACAACGCATACACAAATAGCAGACAATACAAAGAGAATTATTTTAAATAGTCTTCCATAATTACATATTCATAAACTGATAGGATTTTTCCCACTCTCCATCACATTGAAGAATTTATTATTTTAAGAGAATATGTCATACCCCAAATAAGTGTCAGTGATGTTCACAGGCAGTTTGTTTCCAAACTTCACCTTACAGTATGAATCACTACAGTTTTTGTGTTCAAGACGAGATAGAACAATAGGTTGGAATTTTAGATTTGATGATAGCCACAGTTGCCTGTTGATGGAAATAAAACAAATTTAAACAAAATAAGGAGCACAAGCATTACATATGAGAGTATTCATACAGTCTCTATAAATTGTATTATTCACAAGTTTTACTTAGTTATCTTTCTTATTATCAAACAGTAGAAAACTAAAAAGTTAATATTTGCTGAGAAATATACTGTTAAATGGGCTGAAAATAATGAACTGAAAAATGGAGCATTGTGATAATTAATGCCGGAGAATAAACAACCAAGAGAAGAGATGCGTAAACTCATATCTAAAACTGGACATAAATATAGACATGAAATAATAAGGATTTTTAAATAGAGGAGTGATATTCTGGAAAGGACTTCCAATAAAATTAAGAATCATATACATTATAATTAATTTAGAATAGAAATTTGATAAATGCATTAGTTGGTCTATAAAATATTGCTGGTAATCACAATTTAGGAGTTTGGTTCCAGTTTGCTTTATCTTATTAGAGTATTTTTAAAAGACACACAGAAAGACCTACTCGCAAAACCAGTACGATGATGAGAAATCAGGGGACAGACAGAAGAATTAGAGGTTAATGATTCACTGGATTAGTTACATTATGTAGACCTAAATTTTCAGAACATCAAGATGAGATGTAATTTTTCTTTTCTTGTCTCACTACATATAAATAAAAACCTCTCATGCTTCTTTATTTGTTGTGATCTTTTTCAAGTCTGTAATAAGAACACTGCTACTGATCTTAAATGCATATGAGCACACACACACACAAAAAGTGGTGTCTGCCGATTATTTGGGTGTCTACTGATTAAGGCACACAAGCTCAGAACTGATAGACCTATATTTATAGTCCCTACTTTTTAGGTTATTTCTATGCTTTACCAACAAACATTTAATATAATACACACAAGTGTTCATAGGGTCAAGAAAGCAAATAGTTTCTCTTCCAGATGAATATCCATGCCAATACTCTCTTTTTCTTCTCTCCTCCCTCCTGCACAATGTACAGCACAACAGAAAAATGGCAATAGAATGTTCAGCAGAAGAATACTATGCCATCTATTACTTAAAGCATTTTTTTTTTTTATTTATAGCAATTGCACATCTAACCTCTGGGTTAACCAGGGTGGGCTGGAATGTGAGTATCTCATTTCCTCAGTAAGTGACCTAAACAATAAGCTATTAGTGAGAATGGGCAGGCATCATCAATAACAGCTAAAAGTATCTTTTAGCAAAAGCAAATCCTGTTAAGGTAAGCATTTAGGCTCAGAAAACGGAATATGAAGCCTGCATCTCAGGCATATTGAGGCAAGACAAATATTCAGCCTGAGTCAGGTGTCAATACTCCAGAAGGGGCCAGAAGCTATTTACTAGTTGACATTTGGTGAATTCCTGGATCACTCTTCACAGGCATCTAGCCTACCCTACAGTCTGTACAAGAAGCTCACAAGCATTACTCAGCATAAGCGTCTGCTTTTTAAGTGCTGCAATGCCTAACTTGGAGTAAGGACTTATATTAGGCATCCTGGATCTTATGCCATGCAACTAACCCATTTGTCACTCCAGTTCAAATCCTGGAAAAAAAAATTTAGACTTTCTAAAGAAATGGAGAATTTTCAAGAAAGAACAGCAAATATCTCATTTAACCACCTGGTCTGCATAAGCTTCCCACCAAGTACAATAAAATGTTCCAAGCAGATATTATGGGTAGAGATCCACATGCATGCACACTTGCTCCCAAAAAGAGTTCTGAATGGTGCTCGGTGTGCTGTTCTGTAAGAGCCCAGCCATGCGGCACCTTTTGTAGGTATGGATCCTTGGAATATTTTACTGAGACATACTCCTGTATTTTCTGCTCAAATATTAAAACAATGGAGACTAAAAATGAAAAGTGGGAGAAAAAAAAAAAGGGAGACAACAAAACCTAGCCGGCAGAATATGGATTACCCAGAGTGGATTTAACGTAATTTCTATTACCACCCAATATATCAAACAGACTAAACCAACTATTTTACTAAGGACTGGAACACAACTCTGCTGATTGCCACAGTGCAAAATCCTGTGTTTTATGCAATATGATTAGTTGTGACATGTAAAAATAAGCAGTTTTCAGAATGGGGTT